TCTCTCGAATCCTAACCTACATAACTACTATTATCCTAGAACTGAATACCTAATTACTGGGTCCTTTGGACCCTTAGAGTCTGCCTAGGGCTAGATTCCCCTCAATCTGCCGTTCTTTAGAATTTGCATCGAAAGCACAAAGATCTCCCATGCCCAGACCCTAAACCATCAAGTTCTTATTCTGATGTATATGTGACGGTATGGGACCCTGGAGAAACGGCCACATACGTCTGGGCTACAAGGCGCAAGTTTGCACAGCGTGTAACAAAAAACCTAACTAACTAGACAATGGGGCGGGGCCTTCGGGGGGAGGATGATAGTTGATAGTGTAAGTATTGCAGGGATCCCTTAGGAATACTACTACCGTCCTGCGTACCCAGGCCGGTATATGCTACATCGAACACCGTCCAAACCTCTGACTGGAACTTGCCAGACCAATTGCCTCAGACCCAAACACGGAGACTACACGCTGAACTCTCACCCTGAGTCCTGTTTTGCGCAGCTCATACCTGAACCCTCCAAAACCCAGAGCCTCCAAAACCCCTTAATTAAGGAATATACCTTAAATTAAAAATGGATCCCTTATACGATTTAAGGTATATTCCTCAATTAAGGGGTTTTGGAGTCTCTGGGAACTTACCGGTTTAGATAGCCGTGAATCCCAGGATAGAGCCTCCTCCGCCTGCATAAGCATCTCAGTTTCATTCAGCGACTTGGGTGTCGAGTGGTCCTGGAAAGAGACACAAAAAACCCTTAACCCCGAAGATCCTAAGCACTGGCTTTGAGGAGGTAGGGTTCCCCCCAAAAATGTGCTTAGAATCCTCCTTCCGGGCACCCAGAAACCCCCTCAAACTGAGTGCTCAAAACGAAAGGCGCTTGTCTTCGTGTAGCCGTGTGTGTGGACGGCAGAGGCAACCGCTGAAACGGATGTTGGTCTTCGGGCTTTGGGTGTGGAGTCCATATGGGGGTATCCGAAATTAGGGGACCCTACCAGTAGTCTCCATTGAAGTTCCTTTTTTGGGTTTAACCAGTTTTATATTAAGGATCCTAAAAGGTAACCCCAAAAAGGAACTACAAGGGAGACTATAGGTAATATAATACCCTAAATAGTAGGATCCTTACTACTAGACCCAGGAGTAACCTAGGAATAAAAAGGGTGCCCTTTTTGGGATAAAGGGGGTTATAAGGGAACCTAAACCCTTAAAAAGGGAATATAAGGGCCTACTCTGGGTCCTAGATAAGGACCCCAGAATAAGGTACCCCCTAATCTTCGGAAACTCCCATGTTGTGTCCCAGGCTTCCGAGGCTTGCTTTAAGCGTACTTTAGGGTTTAGGGTTTAGGGCTTAGGATTTAGGGTTTAGGGTTAGGATTTTTGGGTGGAAGTCTTGGTCCAGGGTTTTCGGCGGCTGAGGCAAGCTTAAAACCTCCTCCCGAGCCGATATGATCTTTTCCCAGAATTGGGCAAGGACTCTCAATCCAAAACCTCCAGACCGCGAGAATGCTCACCCCAGAGCACCCGAGCTTTTCTAAACCCAGAATTCCAGACTGAGACTCAAGAACAAAACAACGTACAAAGCGAACCCTAAACCATGAACTCCAAGCCCCGTAAACCCTAGGCCCTAAGCCCAAAACCCCCAACCCTAACTCTGCCTCCTGCACTGCCCCTACGCGGACTCTATAGAAGCAGCAGCTACATCTTTGAAAGACGTGTATAAGGCAATCAGAAACGGAACCCTAAACACGCAGGTTATATGGGTGGTTGTCAAGATTAGATCCCTTTTTGGGGTACCCTAAATATTAGGTGCCGTACTGTATTAGGGATCCAACAAGGGACCTTTTGTTTTGACAAGCACCTAATACAGGGGTCCGGAAATCCCCAAAAAACTCTCCTCCGCAGGCGTCTGCCTTTCATTGAGAGCATCGAGCGTCGAGTTGTCCTGGCAAGAAAAGAAAGAGAAGCGAACCACAAAAAAGATGTATCAAGGTTTAGGGGGTCCAATCACGAAGCCAGGTAGCCACCAAGAGAAGACTACAGTATTGGAGTGTGTAAACAATAAGACAATAAATACAGATCTATACAGCATGAGGCTATGGCTATGATGAGGGTTTCTATACTCTCACTACAGGGAACCCAAAGACATTGGATCACGAATTATACCGACCCCTAGACTAATTACAATCTTCCCCTGAATATGCTTGGCTCCGGAGCCCTTCATTGGAGGACCCACATCCCGACATTCCGTATGTCCTTCATCGTCTTGGCCCCAACATGAAGCAGCCATCAAAGTGCGATGGTTTAGGGTTTAGGGTTCAGGGTTCTGGACTTGGGAACTGTAGAACTCCGTGCGGTTAGGGCAGAAGGGGTCTAAAGTTCGGGTTTCATGTCGTTGCGGTTCAGCGTGCAGGGCTTCATTATTCGGGTCCAGATAGTCTACCCCCCTGTATGAACCCGAAAACATCTGACGGCCAAAGGTCGGGTCTTACACCGCTGTTCACGGTGCTGCTCCGGATTTGGAGCGCTCCACTGCGACCCACACAGAAATACTCACATATATCGTCCTTCTTGCATTGCACCTTGAAGACCCTCGCGGAATTTCTGGCTCAAGGATTTTGCTGCACAGAACCCGATTTTCACATGGAACAAATCCTCAACTCCCTCTTAAACCAGAACACTCAACCTACAGCGTAATTTACACTCGAAAGCTCAGAAACCCTGAATTTCCGACTCCCATGTCAAGAAGCCCAAACAACCCTAAACCCTAAACCCTAAACCGCAAACAACCCTAAACCCTAAACCCTGTTTTGAAACGATGCCTCGAGCCCATACAGTCTGTCGTCTCCCTCCTCATGCCACAACTCCACCCTAAGAGCCCGAAAGCTTGTCACACAAAACCCTAAAACCCATAAACCCTGTAAGCCCTTAGCCCTATATACCTAGACCCCGGAGTGGTACCCACAATTAACTATAAGGACGAAAAGGCCTCTCTTAAACGGTACTTGGTGGGTGGTGGAACTATTCTCGAAAGCCCTCATGCCCAGTAGACATTCAGGTCTCCTCTGCAGGAGTCTCGCTGGCATTCGCAGCCTGCGGCTTCGAGTTGTCCTTGCAGGAGAAGGGACACAAAGCAGCGATTTTCAAGATTCTAGAACGTGATGAGGACCCTACAGTAAAGACCACGAGTAGCCAACAAAAGGAAGACTTCGTCGGAGGGTTTAGATAGACTACGGTCTCGGGGACTTCTATACTCTCACTATAGGAACCCTGACGAGTACTAGTTACTTAGTCCCAATCAATCAGATCGCTGCATAGAGGCTCATACCCTACCCCTTTTTTAGGGCGCCTACTTTCTAAGATAATTAACAGATCCTAACCACAAAACTAGGTATCCCAAAAAATCGGTGGGGTATGAGCTACTGACCGCACATCTGGGGTTTAGGGTTCAGGGTGCAGCGCAAGGGCTTAAAATTCGGGTTTTGCGTTTAGGGTCCAGCTTGCCGGACTTGACAAATTGGGTCCTGAGATAGTCTTATCCGCTGCTATGAACTCGACAACATCTGAAAGCTAAGCACATTCCACCCTTACCTTCAACTAGCAAAACCAAAAGGTTGCTAACATGTCGATACTAGGGTTTGTAGCAGGTTGTGGTAGGTTACTTGGAGGTTCAGGGGTAGTTATAAGTGGTTTTATAAGTCCCCTAATATGGGTTAGAAGTATAGTTATCCTACTTATAACCCTACTTATAGCTACCCCTGAACCTCCAAGTAGGGTCAGTCTGAAACATTGAACCCAAGCCGAAGCCAGGGCCCTCACCTTTACAAACCCTGTTAACTCGCCGACCCAACCCTCTATAACCTAAACACACCCAAGCCCTGAACCCTAAACTCTATAAACCCAATAAACCCTACAAGCCCTATAGACCCTTTCAAGCCCATAAGCCTTAAACCCTTAACCTATAAACCCGCAACCAACCCCATAAGATCCTACAAACCCTATATAGAACCTAAACCCCAAAGCACATAAAGGCGTCCTCCTGCACAGGCACCTCGCCGGCATTCGCAAGTTCGGGCTTCGAGTCGTCCTGTCATGACTGGGGGACCAAAAAGAGGGGTGACGGTAGACGGGTCTTGGGTAACAGTCACAGTTTACGATAAGTCTCGAATGGGCTGGAGTACTGAGGGCCTTATCTAGTTATATCGAACATAGTATTTCAACCGTTACTGAGAGGGGGTAGCATTCACAACGGATCCTTGATTCACATGACCTGAGAAGTTGCTGCATACCAGGCCGGACTTGAACCCCCGAAACCAAAAAACGCGAACTTCAACTAACATAGGGGCCTTAATAGTTAAAATTGGGTTTTGGGGCCCATTACAATAAGGAACCCCCCAAAATAGCACAGGCCACGCTTAAGGCCTCTATAGTAACAACAAAACATTTAAAAAAAAGCTACGCCGCCAAGCCCAGTAAAAGACTCTCCTGCATGGGTATCTCGCCGGTGCTTGCAACGTCGGATTTCGGGTTGTCCTAGCGAGAGGGGGACCCCAAACTTACCGCTGGTTAGTAGGGAATGGAGGAATGGGGTACAACTATAACTACTATTACTACCATTCTTCCATTCCCTACTAACCAAAGGTAAGCAAAGGGGTAACTGCTGTTCGGATCTCGGGATTGAGTGGGGTAAGGGTTGAGTTGCTTAGGGTTTTTAGGGTTCAGACTTGGATATTCAAAGACGTTCATTGGCCTATCCCTTTCTCCTTTAGGGTCATAGTAGTTGTGAATAAATAAGAGCTGTAGCTGCTTGGACGCTATGACATTTCCCTGCAGCCGGCCATACAAAAGAGAAAAAACTTGCCAGGCCACCTACCCTAAACCAAATCTAATAACCTCCGTAAGCTGCATCTGAACCTTCAAGCCCAACACGCCTCAAGCCGTGAATGAATGCGGAGACTCTATCCTCCTGCCCTGTCTGAGTCTCAACCCTGCGCTCAAGCCCATACCTCAGCGCCAGAAAAGCTCCTCCTGCGCAAGCATCTCGCTGGCTTTCGCAAGCTCGGCTTTCGAGTCGTCCTCTCAAGGATTCAAATCAAAAGGATCGAAACGGGCACGCTCACAGTAGGTCTCCCCCAAAAAAGTGTCTAAACCCTAAACCCTAACATGCCTATTTGACGTGTTGGTGTAGGGGTGCTGATCCCTTGTCGTACCCTGAACAGAACACCCAATCTAAATCCCTGCCCAAGCGCGGCGCTGGAAAACTGACTAGGCCCTATAGGTCTCCAGTTACCTAAACAGTAGGTTACCGTGGTATATAATATATGGTTAGTATCTCACGATTTGCTATACCCCCTTACAACCATAATACAAGTAATATGTTCAATTTTCTTTATATGAACAAAAAATGAAAAATAATGACTATAGTTTCGGTAACTGGAGCCCTAGGGAGGGTTAAGGATTTAAGGCATCTCCTGTGTGGGAATCTCATCGGTGTTCGCAAGCTCTGGTTTCGGGATGTCCTAAGACTACTGCAGGAACTTGACCACTAATTATCTGCCTCCAAGACGTCACTCCCCAAACCGAAGGCTCAATAAACAGTTACTGAAACATCCTTTTCTTGGGGTTAAGAGGGGTCGTGTAACCACGTACAGCACAATCGCGCACCAAACCCTAAACGCAAACCCTAAACCCTAAACCCTAAACTCTAAATCCTAAACTCTAAACCCCCTGAGCCACTAAACCGGCAAGACGAAGCCTGAGCCCGAAGTTGAGCCCGAAGTATGGCTAGGATCGTCCTGGACCCTAAAGAAGTTATCCTTTTAAGGACTCATAGAAGGAAATCATAATAAGGAACCTCTGAAAAAGCAGGTTCTTTAGGGTCCAGGGTAAGGCTACGACAAGACCTCGAAGCAGTCAGAGGGTTTCGGGGCATATCTAGAAACGTAAAGACTTTACGTTGCATTTGGAAAGAGGGGTTCTGTTTCGAAGGGCCGCGATCATAAGAATCCTACTAGTACCGTGCATTCAGGGCTTCGTGTTGGGGTACGTTACTCCATAGGCAGTGAAGGACAATGAAGGAATGCCGGTGCGAATGACTTGGGCTCATGACAACATGCTGTAGTAGGAGGTCCATGTAATTCCATACCACACTAAAGAAGCCTTTCAGAAACCCTTCCTTTAGAACCCTTAAAGAAGCCTCTCAGACACCCTATAGGACCCTTTAAGGAAGCTTTTATGGAACCTTTTAGTTCGTTGGGGCCACAGGAGCCATAGACAGAGCTCGCCAAGCCTCGTCTGCCAGCTCTGCTGCTTCGCCTTAGGAAGCCAAATTTTGGGAAAAGGGGCTCTGCCGGGTTCGGGGATACATACTTTAGGGTTTAAGGTTTAGGGGTTTAGGGTTACACAGGGCTTATGCTATATGGCTTAGAAAGGACTTCTAGGGTTTAGCGTTTAGAGGCTCAGGGTCTGGGGTTTAGGGTTTGTAGGGCATTGGGTTTCAGGTTTAGTATGTAGGGTTCAGGATTTGGGAGGTTATAAGCACAAGGATTAATCGATGCAGCTGTTGGTGATTCCGGAAGTCTGGATTTGGCGCTTAAAACTGATTGTGTTTAATCTACTGTAGAACCGCAGCCATGGCAGAAAGCTCAAGGGTCCAAAGGACCCAATAATCAGGTACTCGGTTTTAGGGTAGTAGTTACGTAGCTCAGGATTTTGGAGAGTATATGACTATTAGGTACTTGGACCCTTGGGGAAACAACTCATGTTGTCCCGCCGTCTTTCTCTTTCGCTCTCTCTCTCTCTCTCTATCTCTCTCTTTCTCCTTCGATTCAGCTTACTAACTAAGTCCCATGATTTTGCAAGAAAGGATCCCTGGTCATGTCGGGAGGCTTACAACAAGGATCCTGCGATTCGGATTAAAAGTTAATCCAAGGATTCCACAAAGGCCGCTGACGTTCTGTACTCCCTCAACCTATACTTGGAGGTTCATGGGCAGCTATAAGCAGGGGACTTATAACCCTACTTATAACTGCCCCTGAACCCACAAGTACGAAGCCTTGAAAGAACCCTTTCAAGCCTCAAAGCTATGTGCACCCAACTTGCCTTCACCTGTCTCGACAGGGATGTCTGGCGGCGGAAGTTTCCTGGAGGCTGCAAGACACACGGCATCTAGCTCATGGTTGGGATAGGATGAAAAATGTACATGTTCATTCCTTATTGGGTTTAAGTACCCATAAACATGTAAAATGTTACCCAACTATGACAAAGGCATAAGGTGTGGATTCGTTGCTGTTGGACGGCCTCCTTTCCATCGAAAATTGAGGGTACCTTATTTTGGGGTCCCTATGATAAGGATCCGACTATTTAGGGTACTATATTAAGGTTCCCTATTTTCGGGAGCTCCCATATAGAGCCTTCAGAGCCTGCGTGCTGTATGAGTACTCTGGCCTTCGAAGCTGGGTCCTCTTTCATCTGCATTCCAAGATCCCGGGAAGACCACTCAGAAAGCGAGAGGAAATAAAACCCTAAACCCTAAACAGCTTAAGATCCAAACACCATCGATCTCATAGAAAGCGAACGGTTGAGGGTTTCGGGTTTAGGGCAGGAATTAACAGCTTAGATAAAAACACGATGGGTCTCATAGCTACTTGGAGCCGGGACAGATGGCCTATGAGAGCAGAGGCTGTAGGTAGGTTCTGAAAGGTCCGGTAACCAAACCCTCCTCTTCAACTCCAAACCCCTACTTGGAGGATCATGGGACGTCGTAAGTAAGGTTATAAGTACCTTAATTGGGGTTATAGGTAGTCATAAGTATAGTTACCCTAATAATAACCTTAGTTACTAAGTCCCATGATCCTTTAAGTAACCTCGTAAACCTCAAGCTCCGAACCCTGAATCCTACCTAGAGGCTCATACCCTACCCCATTTTTTAGGGCGCCTACTTTTTAAGATAACAGATCCTAACCGTAAAGCTAGGTATCCTAAAAAAGGGGTAGGGTATGAGCCTCTAGGTAAAGTCCGAAACCCCGCAATCCCAAACCCTTAAATCAACAGCACGAGAGCCCCAGTAACCGTTACGGTAGGTTGCTGTCCTTAAGCCATGTGTTATGATTGTATACATATGCACATATGTACATACATGCCACCCGCACTCCCTGCACCCAAACCCTAAACCCTCTACCCAAAAAACTAAGCCCTAAAAAAACCTGAAAACCAAACCTGAGCCGTAAACCCCGACTGCCTTACCCATATAGACCCCAAGCCTAAAAGACACCTCTACAGGGAACACTCAGCCGTGACAACGCCGGACAGCTTGTCCTCCGCCGCCGTTTCTTTCGTTTCGGCCGCGGCGGGTCAACGGCGGGAGCGGCCTCCTTGTCGGCTGCTGCATTGGGCAGGGTTTAGGGTTTTAGAGGTTTAGGGCTTAGTAGGGGTCTAGGGTTTAGAGGTTTAGGGTTTAGTAGGGGTTTAAGGGTTTAGAGGTTTAGGGTTTAGTAGGGGTTTAAGGGCTTAGAGGTTTAGGGTTTACTAGGGTTGATGATAGAAATTTCCTTAATGACCCTAGATTGTGCATGGGAATTATGGAATATTCCCTATTGTACATAATGCAGGATTTACACCATCAACAGTAGGGGTTTAGGCTTAGGGTTGAGGTTTGAGGATTTGCGGAAACTGAAAGGTTAACCCTCGGCCCGGCGTTAAACTGCTATAGTCTACGGTTTAGTAGTCTCACACCATCAACCCGAAGAAAGAACTCAGAGGAACTGCGCAAAAAGTAGGCTATATAGCTCAAAGATGTTTAGCCTGAACCATCTGAACCCCAAAAACCCAGACACCCCGGAGGATCCAAAAAGTAGATCCCTTAATGGGGGTTCTTATACAGTACTCGGAGTAGTATAGGGCCCCAAATTAGGGGATCTACTTTCTAGACCCTAAACCCTAAACCCCTAAACCCTAAACCCTTAGATCCTAAACCCTTAAACCCCTAAACCCTAAACCTTTATATAGATCCCTTTAAAGGATCCTCCCGGAGGTCTGGGAAAGGGAACCTTGAACCCCAAACCGTCCCCGCAACCCCAAAGCCTTGGCCATGTTCTCTGAATTCTCCTTGGAATCACAATGAAAAACTACAAGTTCATATGGGGTTGTATAATAACCCCGTATAAAACTCTTTGTCCCTTGCTGTTGTTATCGTTTTATGTTCTTCTTATCGTTTTACCAGGAAAAACGCTTTATCGTTTTGTTATCGTTTTATTTTCTTCCTATCGTTTGTCCACGGAAAACCATCAAAAGCGAACACAGCCATGTCAAGACTAAACTTAACAGCACAGTGTTATTATACAGTCCCATATGTTTTTGGGGTTTAGGGTTTAGGGTTTAGGACTTAGGGTCCAGATTTCTTGTGATTTTGTATGAACAAATGTAAGAAAACAGTTTCCTGAGGAGACTATAGTTCTAACATCCGTGAACCCTGAAACGCGAAACCTGAAATTGGAGGATCTTGGAAAAGTCGAAACATTTTTGGAGATTTCTAGAGCATGTAGAGGTTGCAAGGTTTGGGGAGTATGGCTTTAGGGTCTATAGGGCTTAGAAGTTCTTGTGGTCTTATGCTTGCTTTGGCTGTTGCTTAGTCAATCCGAAACTTCGGAACTTTAGTCTAGTGAAGGCGGGATTTGAAGCTGCAATTTGAAGCTTCAGATTTGAGGGTGTGTAGGGCTTTAGGTCTCTGATGTTTAGAGTGTACCTGGGCCCTGAATAACCTTCCTTTTTCCGGACTTACATATAAGGAAGTCATAGTCAGGAACCTAAACCCTAAACCCTTAAACCTTCACCCTAACGGTTTAGGGACCCTGGGGCCTTAGATTTCAATTTGTGCATTTGGGGGTTGGGTTGAGCTTACCTAGGGCTTTAGGAAGTTACGGTTTTTTGGGGGTGTTTCCTTGGAATTTAGGATGTAGAGGTTTCGGAGTGGGTGTAATGCATTACGCTTCGGGGCCTAAGCGTTTCCGGCTGTAGGGTTTAGGGCTTCAGCTTTCTGGGTTTTCTTGTACCACAAGAATGCGAATCAGGCTTGTGGCCTGAGCTAGCGCCTCATGTCCAGGTCTTCATGTTGAAGCCACCTCTGTTCCAAAACTAAAGGAAGCAACGTGGAGGTCCAGACGGGGGGCATGCGCTGCAGAGGGAGTCGTCGCCCTCAAACACGGCATTCCACCATTTCATCCCACCGTCGATGCCCGTGCTCCAGCATGCGGCAACGACTGGAGAGTGGGAAATCGCAAATGTCCACATGACGAAGTTTATCCGCCAGTTAAGGCAACTTGTGCCTTGATGGCCAGAGCGCGAGATGGCTCTGATGCTGATCCCTTGCTTGGGTAGTCGCACTTGCAAACGCTGGAGATGTGATGATCGGGCGCTTTGACCCTTGGGGGTATGGGCTGAGGGTGTAAGGCAGCTAAAATTCACTAGAGCCGCCCCAAAGCCACATGCACCAGACCCTGTGAAGATCTCAGCGGCTAACTTCAACCCTGACCCCTAAGCTCCCAAAAACCTAAACCTTACACCCCCCATACCCGAAAAGCCCATACTGTTGAACGAACCCCAAACTACACCCCTAAAGCCCACTAAACAACCCTGCCACAAACCTTTCCAGGACCCCTGACAGAATGATCCCAAAACCCTAAACTTAAACTGTAATCACCACCTGATCGACTCCCAAGCCATTGTCTTGTGCGGCTTCCTGTCCTGGTGCCATGCGGCTTTGGGGCTTAGAGGACTTGGGTGGTCAGGGTATATAGGGCTCAGGGCTTAGAGGGTTTGGCGTTGGAGGCTGGATCGCGGGTTTGAGGCTGGAAGTTGGTAGGGTGTTCGCGGCTTTCGGGACTTACGACTTTACGATCCTGGGGTCTTTAGGGTTTAGGTTTCATGCATTCCTCAATACAAGCGTAGAATTTCGGGTTAATCCGACTAAAGTCTTGGGCGAGGCCGTTTGGCTCCACAAAATGGGTGGGGAGATGGGGAGTACAATAAACCTATCTCAATCTCCACCGTTGTGTTCGGTACAGACAGAGCCATCACCAATGGGGGCGTCGCCGGGCAACTGCTCCTGGTGATCCTCAAGCTGCTCGTTCAGTTCTTCGTAAACGTTTTCATAACTCGATGCCACTTGGTCCACTGCATCTTCGTGATCTTCTTGCTTGCGCGCTTTGCCATCCTTGCGGCAGGGCTTTCGTGGGCACGCGTCGTCTAGGAAATCCTCCATGTGTTTTTGCACAAATGAGATGGCATCGCCGTCATCCTGAACTTCCAGCAGCACGCTGCCGGCGGCGGAGACCGCTGCGAGGAACGCTGCGGCAGAGGCTGCAAATGCCCGCAAAGCAACCATGACCGACAGTCTCAGGGACTGAGGCGTGAAGGCTCAGCATTTACAAAGGACAGCCATACATGCAATTGGCCCCTGCAGGCACTGTGAACTACTATGTAAAACTCCGTTTCGGGTTACCGGGTTTAGGATCATGCTCCTCGGAATCAGTGATTAGATAAGCAGCATTGATGCTTTCGAACCAACAACCCCAAGGTCTACACTGTGCCTAAAGCATTAGTTCAGATAGACCCTAAATCCCTAAAGCCCTATACTAAATCCCTAAACGCTAAACCCTAAATCCGTAAACCGCCGAAACCATCAACCCAAAAGCTTGAATTCGAGAACCCAACCAGTGCAAGGCATGCCTTGAGCACTCCAATGAATGGTCTACTTCATGCTTGATACCTGATATCGTTGGTATATAGGGCTTGTGACTTAGAGGGTTTAGGGTTTAGGGCTTTAGTGTGCAAACTGACACAGCAATATTTGGAGTTTGGGTGTAGCAAGGTTAGCAAGGTTCGGGGAGCATGCAGCGCTCATCCTATGGATGGTGAAACAAAAGGGGTCCAAGTATCATTATGGTATATACCTAGACCCCCAAAATACGCTATAAGCATATGCCATAACGATACTTGGACCCTTTGGGAAACTGCAGATCAATGCGCAGAAGGGAACAACCCGCAGTAACAATGCCGCTGGATGCTGAGTTGAGGCCTACGGCGACAGGTGCATCTGCATGTGCTAGATTCTACTAGATTCAACAAAACGGGACCCACGTAGGGTTCATGGACATCTCTGCTTAAAGCATCTGAGAGCCTACGGACCTACATAGTACATACAGTATAGGGATTCCAGATTAGGAAGTGGCGGTGCAGTATATGCTTCGTCGAAATCTCTGCACTCTAAAATCTGAACCCGACGCCCCGACAGCCATTGGAGCCCAAACCATGAACATAACGGTTCAGGGTTTAGGGTTTAGGGCAATCTGACAGCAGCTTCTCTGATGCAAGCCTCTGCCTCTGTGCATGGGGAGGGAAAGTCGCCTAGCACACCTGCAGAACGAAAAGGGTAATTTAGGGGCCTTAATAATTAGAATAGGGTTTTGGGGCCATTATACTATGTTTACAATAAGGAACCCACAAAACAGTTTTGTATTTAGGCCCCTTGTACCAAAGCTCTGGCCTCTGCTGCCTCGGCCCGCCACTTCGGAGAGGAGGTATAGGGTTTAGGGTTTAGGGTTTAGGGTTTAGGGTTTAGGGGTACCATGGATGGACAACACATTGATTTTTCGCCGAGTGAACCCGGTAGCGCAAGACAGGTTAAGATGGCAGCGACTTCTTGCGCAGCCTTGTTAGGTAGCTCTAACCTGAAACTGCCAAGGTTGATGGGCAAACGGACAGTTGCCTTGCACTAGGAAAAAAATAATTAGAATAGGGTTTTGGGGCCATTATACTATGTTTACAATAAGGAACCCACAAAACAGTTTTGTATTTAGGCCCCTTGTACCAAAGCTCTGGCCTCTGCTGCCTCGGCCCGCCACTTCGGAGAGGAGGTATAGGGTTTAGGGTTTAGGGTTTAGGGGTTTAGGGTTTAGGGTTTAGGGGTTTAGGGTTTAGGGTTTAGGGGTTTAGGGTCGACTCGACTTGCGAATCATTCCTTCTGTCACCCTAGGGCTCCAGCTACCTATTGTATACGCCAGCATTCTACTCTTTGGGTGGTTGTCAATATTAGGGTCCCTTTTTGGGTCCTTATTATAATACAGAACCTAATATTTAAGGTAACTAGGAAGGGACCATAATTTTGACAACCATCCATTCAGGTAGCTGGAGCCGTAGGGTCAACGTGTTCAGGTGACTGGTGGTGTCGCCTGGATGGTCGTTGTAAGTTGTAACGCGCCTGAGCCGGGTTGGGTCTCGCCGAGGACGCCTGGCCTTCAGGCCGCGGCGCCACCGCTGTTTTCCATGCCTTTGCTTTGCGTGCCTGTTGGCGATCCCTAGGGCTCTGACTGGGGTATATGACATAATATATGGTTAGTAATCCACTATTCAGATAACTGGAGATTTAGGGGATGCCAGGCACAGTCGTGGTTGTGCGTTTGATCAAGGCTTGCACTAACCATGCTCGCTCGGGGTGGGTGCTTCTAACATCTTTGGGTGCTCGCTCGCTTGTCTGCGCCGGCTGCTTGTTTGCATGCGGCGTGCTGCGCAAGCGAGCGGGCACGCAGTTTTGTTAGAAGCACGCAGCTCGAGCGAGCATGCATTGGATTTTTGTGGAATCTAACCCCAAACCCTAAACACCTCTACGGCGAGTCTGAGGCCTCAAAAGCAGCGTCGATTTTGCATGCTCGCTCGGGGAGGGTGCTTCTAACATTTTTGGGTGCTCGCTCGTTTGTCTGCGCCGGCTGCTTGTTGGCATGAGGCGTGCTGCGCAAGCGAGCGAGCACGCAGTTTTGTTAGAAGCACGCACCTCGAGCGAGCATGGCTAGCGAAAGCCTTGATTTGAGTCATGAGATGCGCCTGCACGTGTTCCGCACTTGGCGCCCCTCACCCCGCAGACCAGGCACTCCAGTCCGGAGCTCGAAAGGACTCTGTGCACGAAACGCCCTGTTCCCGAAGCTGCAAACCCTGAAGCCTCACGCACCGAACTAGACCCATAAACCCTAAACCCCTAAACCCCTAAACCCAAATCCCGAAAGCAACCCCCCCCAAAAGGGGGACCCCTAAGAAGGGAACCCCAAACGGAAGCCTGAAAAGGAAGCCCAAAACGGAACCATTTCGTTGATCCTACAAGCAGGCCAAAAAGCAACCTTAGAGTTAGCCCGTATAGACCCTAAACCCTAAACCTAAACCCGAAACCCTGCAACCCTAAACCTTCAACCTACAATCCTAAACCCTACCTTAACCCTGAATAACCTACCTTTCTAGGGCTCCTTATTCTGATTTCCTTGTATAAGGCCTTAAACAGGGTAGGTTCTTCCGGGTTAAAGTAAACCCTAAGCCTACAACGAAGGCTCCCCTGCGCGCTGCACCCGGCAGTCCTTCCGCACCGTCGTCTGCCGGTCTCCTGCGTGACAAGGCCTATACTAAACACCCCAAGCCATACACCCTAGAAGCCCGCGCATACACACATATAAACTCGTACAAACATAAATATAAATGTATATATATATAATTATATATATATATATATATATATATATATATGTATAATAAGTGTATGTATATATATATATATATATATATATATATACATATGTAAAAATATAAATGTATATGTATGTGTATATATAAGGGGAAGATAGATGTAGATATGTATAGGTATAAAGGTATATAGATTTACAGATGTATATAGACATATAGATATATAGACATCTGTGAGAACCCGTGTGAAACCCTCATGGAACAGCCCTGCTGAAGCTCAACCCTAAGCCCAAAGCCCCCATTGCTTTAAAACACCCTCTCAAGACCTGAGGGACTCTCAAAGCCCATACATACCCATATCCTAAACCCTGAACCAGAACCTGTGAACCCTAAACCCCAAGGACCTAAACCGCCTGACCTCTAAACCCTGGAAGCTCTTGAAGGACCCTTGTCAAACGTTCAAAAAACCCCTTGCAGGAAGTTTATGAGCCCTATTCAAGCTCAACCGCAAGCCCCTGATTGAAGAACGCTCAGATAGCCTTCTAAAGCCCTACACAACCCGTTTGAATCTCACAGTAAACCTATAAACCCCTAAACCCATAAACCCCAAACCCCCAGACCCTCAAACCCGAAACCCTAAAATGCCGTATTTCGCAACCTTCCTAGAACCGTTGAAGCCCGAATTTAGCCTGCTAGGGTTTATAGGGTTTAGGCCTTGGGGTTCAGGGCTACCTAAACCCTGAATACCCTACCTTTTTAAGGACTTATATAAGGAAATCATAATAAGGAACCCTAAAAAGGTAGGTTATTCAGGGTTATAAGGTAGGGCTTAGGATTTAAAACCCTAAACCCTAAACCCGAAACCCTAAACCTCGGCGTCCTCCGCTTCTTCCTTCGCCTCCGCCCCGCGCGACGCAGCTTCGGAGGCGCCTTCGAAAGTTCGCGGGCGTTGGTGTTTGTTGCCCAATAGGGTCCTATACATCCCGTAAACCCTACCTGGACCCTAAGGAACCTACCTTTTCGGGGTTCCCTAATATGACTTCTTTATATAAGTTCCTATGTACACCCTCTAACCAATGGGTCATAACCTACTATTTTGAAGGGTTTGGGGATGCAGGTAAACCCTAAACCCCTAAACCCTAAACCTAACCCGTAAGCCCTCGATCCGAGACCTGAAACCCTAATCCCTAAGCCAAAGGGTCCTATGTACCGATATAGTAGAATGTAGGATTTCTATATTAGCAATTACTATTATGACTTATGGAAGTATCCCCCATAAACTTTGGGTTGTCCCTTTTCTGTGGGGCTCCTAGAAGGGATCAAGGTTTTGGGTTTGGGGGTTTAGGGCTTGGTGTTGAAGACAGCAGGATTTAGAAGCCAAGCCCTTCATTAAGAAAGCTTTGGATTCAAAAGGACAGCAAGCTTCGGAGGCCAAGCCCTTCATTTGGAAAAACTAGACTTTTTCCAAATTAACGCTTATCAGAGTGTCGTCGGTGCTTCCAAACCTGCTTGTGATTCAACTGCGAGTCGCGACGGTTTCGAGCTGCATATCACTCGGCAGCAGGGATCGGGAAGCCGATTAAGCCCCGAACCCTTACGCAAGAAAAGATTGGTCAAACTGCTACGCCTACGCGTAAAATCCTTAACCCTAATACCCTTAAAGCCCGGAGCGCAAATCAAAGTCACAACCTTCAACTAAATTTAAAGGGCCTCCTCGTCTGCGTCCGTAGTCTCGTCCGGTCCTGGCCGCTTGATGGTTCATGCGATAATTACTACTACGAGGATGCGGTTTGGGCTTCAGGGTTTAGGGTCTTGGCGCTTAAGGTTCCGGGGTATAGATGTTTAGGGGTTTAGGGGGTTAAAGGCTTTAAGCTCTTGGAGCTTGGGGCCGTCGTTTTGGCGCTGTTCTGGTATAGCCGGTCGTTGCAGGAATAGTGGCCCAAGCCGTCTACAGTGTTTAGAACGTGCCTCCACGATTGAACCATCCCTGCACCTCAAATAACAAAAAGTATTCGACTCGCCGATGCTGTGTACCTTTCACCGCTGCAACGCAAAAGCACAGCAAATCTTGAAGACAAGCCGCAAAGTCAACTAACACTAAATTTAATGAACTGCCCAGCAATCATTAGAACGTAAACGCATGGACCCTTACCCCCTGCACCCTGAACCCTAAACTCGATCTAACCCCAAAATTTTTGACCTGCACATCTCAGCTTCTGAATGATTGGCGGCCTTTGACAATGAGCCCTTTAGACCCTGAATAATAGCATATGACATCCTTGACAACCGCTGAGAATTGGCGGTAAAATGACAAAATGAAAACACATAGTGATAATAAAGTGACACGTTTAAAGTGCTTGCTTTGTTGAAAGTCGGGTGGGTGATACCGGTTTCTGATCCCAGTTGTGGAAATCGCGGGCTTAGTAGAATCCCCAAGCCTGCCATAGCTTGCCCCCCAAATCCCTGACCTCAAACCCCTCCCAACACCCTGACAAAACCATACACCCTCAATCCGCCGAGCCTTCCTAAACCCCCCAACTACGCTCTACCATACCCCGAATGACCACGATTAAGAACCAGAAAGGCTCTACCTATAGTCTCCATTGTAGTTCCTCTCTTTGGTTAACCCAAAACTGTATTATAGGATCCTAACCATAAAACTGGTAAACCAGCAAAAGGAACTACAATGGAGACTACAGGTATTAAAGGGCCAATGGGGGTCCTGCTTATCGAACCCCCTTTAGGACCATGCTCCAGAGGATCGTGGCCCCTTTATGCAAACCCCTCTCTTGTCCTTTAAACCGCAAAGGGTCCTATGTACCGATATAGTAGAATGTAGGGTTTCCATACTAGGAATTAATTACTATTATGACTTAGGGAAGTATCACCCATAACAGTACATAGGATTTTCTGGGAACCTCTCTGAGACCCTCATAGACCCCATCGAGAGACCTGTATTACCACTCTGAAGAGCTCACAAACCCAAAAAACCCTTAAAGCCTTTATCAAAGCCGCATAACCGTTATAACCTACACTAGCCTAAACCCCCAACCCTAAACCTAAACCTGCAACCCCTAAACCCTAAACCCCAAACCCTAAACCCTAAAGCGTAAACCCCCATAAACGAACCTGTAAAGCTGATCGGCAACCCAGGTGCACAACCCTAAAGCACCATGGACCACAAACACTAAAAACCTAAGACTTAGGGTTTAGGCTTCAGGGCTTAGGGCCTAAAGCTTAGGGTTTAGGGTTTAGGGCTTAGGGCCTAAAGCCCAAAACAGTATGACCCCCTGTAAAGCCGTTCGTCTGAGGGCCTGGAAGATCGATCTGCATGCTTGCGGCGAAGCTGTGCAGCTCTTCCTTTCCAAGGAGTAGGGTTTCAGGGTTAGGGTTTAGGGTTAGGGTTTTGCTTTCTTGGAGGTTCATGGGTAGTTATAAGTAGGGCTATAAGTAGGGGAACTATACTTATAACCTTTATTAGGGGACTTATTGCCGTATTTATAACTACCCCTGCACCTCCAGGTAGGGTTTTAGGGTTAGGGCTTCTTTAATGTTTGGGTTCTGGGGTTTGAGATGTGGTCTTCAGACTGTCTCTAAGATTCTACCAACATTTACAGTTAAGATTACCTTTAAGAGTCTACCAGGGTTTGACAGGATCTTCTCGGGTGCTTAGGGCGAGAGCGCTATACGAGAGCATGCAGGTCCCCACATGGGTCTGTACAGGGCTTGTGCAACCGCTTAGAATGCCTTGTGTTCAGGCTTCAGGGTTCAGGATACAGGTTTAGGGTTAGCTGGTGTCCTTGTAGGACCGACATATGCGCCACAAGTCCTACTTACCCAAAAAAGGCAACGTTGTGGCAACCCAATCCCCAAACCAAACCCCGAATCCCAAAATCCCTGAACCCTACATCCCAAAACTTACACCATCATAACCCATTTTAGAAACCCTTCTGGAACGTTACAATATCCTGCACACAACCCTCTTGTAGACTTGAAACCTGAACCCTTACAGATTAAACACGCGGCGTGAGCACTCCCGGTAGTATCTGAATCTGGTTGCGTTTTTCCCCAAAACCTTAAACCCCTCAACCCTAAACCCTAAGAGCTAAACCCCCAAACCCTAAATCCTGACCCGTTAACCCCAAACCCTCCACCCTAAACCCCTAAACCCTACCCTAAACCCCAAAATCTCAACCCTAAACCTCCAAGCCTAAATCCTAACCCCTAAACCCCAAACCCTCAACCTCCCTGCGTCCTCATTGAGGAAGCCGCAGGCTCTCATCCCCATGAGGATCTCCTGAAAGGTCTTCGGGTTCCCCTAATCCCAAAGGGTCCAAGTATCGTTTTTAGCCACAAACTCCAATACCCTTAAGCAAGGGCTAACAGTACATCCCTGAAACTCCTGCCAGGGCCCCAAAGCCTGGAAGAAACCCACAAAAATGCCGAATCCCGCGTCCCAAGGGCTTGGGACGCGAAACCGATCGGTTTGGGTTCGAAGAAGGGTCCACGATTTAAAGGTCAGATTTTAGGGTTTCAACTTTAGGGTTTAGACTTTGCTTGTAGCCGAGAAGACCTGCCTTTTTAAGGTACTACAGGCATATTGACGCCAGGACCAGAATAGGAACCCTAAAATAGCCGGTCTTTTCGGCTACAGGTAGTGGTTAGGGTTGAAGGTATATTTGGGTTTAGGGCTAGGGGTTTCAAGTTGTAAGAGCCAGGCTTTAGGTACCCCGGACCTTAAACCCGACACTTTCCAAAGCATAAAACCCCACACCCTGAATGTAGGGCCTTACGTTTCATTTGATTTTCAACAGGGTTTGGGGGTTCCTTTTTTATTTATGGTATAATAATACACCCCCAAACCCTTTTCTAACTAGTAAGACCCCTACATTATCCCGAAACCAAAGGCTCCATGTACCCTTATAGTAGATACTTCAGCCTTAAATCTTTATTAAAGGGGTCCCTATATGGGTACTTTATAAGGCCTAAGTATATACTATAAGGGTACCCCTAAAACCCTAAACCCTAAATCCTAAAACCCTAAAACACTAAACCCCTAAAGCCATCATAAGCCCTAAACCCCGAAACCCTAAAACCCTAAACCCCTAACCCATAAAGCCCAGTCCTGACCAAGGTGGCGGCCACGCGGCTGCCCATAGTCATCCGAGTCTTCTTCCCCACTGGCCTCCCCGGCCTCATCTCCGCTGGCCTGCTTTGGGGTATTGGGGGGTTTAGGGGTTTGGGGATTAGGGTTTGGGGGTTTAGGGTTTAGGGTTCAGGATATTAGGGGTTTAGGGTCTATTCTAGGGAGTTCAAGGTCTACGGATAGGGTTTATGGATTTTGGTTTTGGGTCTTACGGTGTAGGATCTGGGTTGTAGTTTAACAGGTACTTTTTGGCCACTGCGGAACCCCAACACCCCAACAGCTTTAGTTCGCCTCGGTCGAAGACGTAACCCAAATACTATGATCTACAGATGGGTTCGATGGAGGTTAGATTCGTTCCTTCGGAACAGGAGGCTCGCTGGGTTATCGGCTCACGATCATCACATTCAAGCTCCGCACCGTGGGCATTGGATCGCACTTTGGCGATGTTCTTCGACGTTTGTCTTGCAATATCGCCGTACGCTACCCCACCCCACCCAGAATGTACCCAGATTCCAAATTCGAGTCAAAAAACCTTAAACATTGAACCAGATTTGAAGACCCAACACTTGGAATCCAACGGTTATGCATTGCTAAAGCTCCAAACTCGAAACGAAACAGGTTCCCCAGAATCCCCATCACAATTCTTAAAGTTGACTTGTCTTCCGTTCTGCTTATACATTCTCAAAGCAAGGGCTACGTCGTCAAGTCCGGCATGCAACAAAGTGTGATGAGCGAGAAGTGTCAGTTTATGTGTGTGTGATTCGCCTTTCATCGCGCCTCGGATGCCTTGTTCAACCAGATTGCACTACTTGACGCGACAAGGGAAGTGTCACTCCTGTAACACACGACATGTCACAAATAGCTGCTAAACTGCCATGTCCAGAGCTTTGACTGGCGAGCCCGAATAATAGCTGACAGGTCTTGTGGATCACAACCCGACAGCATCTAAAGATCTAAAGTTGGCGCATGATGATTGGGTTCTATGTCAGTTGCCAGCACGTGCATGGAAGTGTTGGCATGTTGAACATCATCCTAATGAGGTCAAACTCTTTGAGACGTACAATGGCAGCCACACATTGTACTTTCTGCTGGACCCTGTGCCGCAGCGATCTCGTTCCACCTGGGTTGTTTTGCATGGACCGTGCGATGACCCAAAAGACGAATACGAAGAGCGGTGCAGGGTGCGATGCAGGATCTGGCGCTCGGGGGTGAACTTTATGCCACATACAACAACAAGGCACCGCTCTTCGGCAAGGACCTGACCCTAGGATCATCCTTGCGTTCACGCATCCAGCTGGTCCAGCTGTACTCGTAGCTTGTGCTTTCACTACCGCAGCGGCTTTGAAACGTTACCTTTCTTCCTGGTATTCATGTCCTTTCTTCACTGAGAAGATCTAGTTTTACCAAGACTGATTGTAGCATACATGATGGTCCGTTGTGGGTGTCTTCTCAACACCAAATAATTAACAGCGGTAGAAGGCCGAAAAGAGCCGAAGACATCTGTTGATTTCGCTTGTAATTCATCGTCTTGAGGCACTATCCATGTTCGCAGAGACCTACGGCTGCCTACTGCAAAAGCATCAATTACTCTGAAAGGCGAGCACATCGAAAAAACAAAAAGAACACGAGCCCGTCGATCACTCAGAATGCGAGCAAGGGTCAACCTTGCGATGCTACTGTCCTGATTCCTGACATGAACATCAAGGCACCTTGAGCCTCGTCTGTTGCCCTACACACAGCAGCAAGCCATGAATGGAACGTTTGGAACGATCACAGCGGACTCGTGCCCCATCGTGCCACTGGTCCGCGACGATGTAGCATTGCGCCAAGTTTGGCAAGTACTCTTCTTGAGCCTTCTTGATCGGATTACATTCGGGTCCCAGTAAGTAATAGTAATATCACCTGACAGTCCCTGTGTGTGTATTTGTAAGTGTGTGCGTGTGTGTATGTGTACATATATGCAAATGTAATTCTATATGTACGTAAATATGTATACATGTGTATGTAAATACATATGTGTGAAAGTGTATATGTGTATATGTGTAAACGTGTACATGTCTATATGTCTGCATGTATCTGTATGTGTATATATATATATAATGTGTGTATATGCATGCATGTATCTCTGTATAAAACAATAAGATGTATACATGTATAAGTTTACATATGTAGGTATGTCTCTCTGCATATATGTATACATGTATATATGTATATGTAAAGATGTATATATATATATATATATATATACAGCTGTATAAGAGCCCAACTCTGACGTAGCCTCGATGTCAGGAAGAACCCCGAATCCTCGACCCGAAGGCATAGACTGCAAATCCTGTCGCAAGGCGTTTTATGGTAGTTCATCGGGGTACTCATCGTTATGAGCGGGTGTTAATTACATAGGGGTAATACACTTTAAATATCAATGGGACCCCTGTGGGGAACCTGAGTACTGTTAACACTGTTCGACCTTAAGTCCTGCTACAGTTTACCTTGCAGCAACCCATCAGCACCTATTTTTTGGAGCTACAACTTAAGTTACAACACCACCAAGCCCGAAGTTAAATCTCGGGCAACCAATATATTGTAGTTCCTTCTTGTGGGGTTTAGGGTTTAGGCATACCTATTTGGATCCCAAATATGAAACTTGCTAAACCCAAACGAAGAACTGCCATGGAAACTATCCGAAAGATTCAGGATCCAGCATCGAACGACCCCCCCCCAATACAGAGGATCCTTGACTTCGGTGGTTGTCAAAATTATAGTCCCTTTTTGCGTACCCTAAATATTAGGTGCCGTATTATAATAAGGACACCAAAAGGGGACCCTAATATTGACAACCACCCACTTGGAGAAGTGGGGCAAGAAGGGAAGTTGGAGCAGAAACAGGAGAGGTGAGAGGAGATAAAAGACCAAGGGCCCAGAGAAGCCACGAAGAGCCAAAGTGGAAAGTGTGGTTACCCAAAGGGTCCTAAGTACCCACAGAATAGATTGTCGGGCTTCTACTATGAGAATTGCCATTGTGAATTCGGGGAAGTATCACCATAACAGGAGAAAAAAACTAGAAAGAGAAGAAAAGGACAACGATAAAGGGAAGGAAGAGAGGAGGGAAGCTCTTCATACCCACCAGCACCCTTCGGGGTTCTGCATGGTACAGCTCGCGCCGGAGCCATACGGTAGGCTTCCACGGGGCGGAATGTTGGAGCACAAAACGTGGACGTAGTAGCATGAGCAAACGGACTAATTCCCGTCCCCACCGGATGGCCATGGTAAACCGCAATAATTAGTGTCTGTCTAACAATATTGCGAAACTCTTTGTGAAACCCCATAACACTCCACGACAACTGTAGTTAAAACCTCTGTGCAGCTCTGAAATTATGTGGACATCTCCTTCTTACTTGCCCTTACGAACCCAACATTCCTGAAGATAAGCCGTACCTATACCCCAAAGGCGGGTTGAATAACAGGCCAACACCTGTAAATAACAGGCAATTATTCTGCATACTTTTGAGGTCCAGGTAAACGAACACAAGCCCTCAACCCAAAACCCTTGAACTCCTAAACCCTAGGCCCCCAAGCCCTAAACCCTTAAACCCCAAACCCGTGAACCCCTTAACCCCTAAACCCCCAAGCCCTAAGCCCCTAAACCCCCAAAACCCTAAACTCTCAACCCCTAAACCCCCAAACCCTAAACTTCCCTAAACTACAGACCCCAATCCAGCCTCAGCCTCAGGGACCTGCGTTGCCACGCGGCCGGGGACCACCACGCCAGGAAGAGCCATGAGCTCTATCCTCAGCGCGGGGTTCGTTTAAGGGATCCCTAGGGTTCCTTAAAGGGATCTATAAGGGACCCTTTAAGGGATCTATATACAACATCCCTTAGTTGAGGAATACAGTGTCAACTCACGTTAGGGATCTTACTGTAATTTAATAAGGTATATTCCTGGGTACCAGGACCCCCCAAATACCCTTTAAAGGGCTCTGATATTTCTCATTAAGGGGTACTTAAGGGCTACGATAAAGGGTAGTTGGTCGGGGTCTAGGTATAGAGCCACGGTTTAGGAGGGTTTGGGGGTCTGTATTATAGAATATTCCGTATAGTCTGGCAGATCAGGATGGCTCATCATTTTGATCAGCACCATATGACTTTGGGGATTGTAGTTGCTTTGGAGATGCCAGCACCCCCCCAAGTACCCTTTAATGGAGCCCTTAACTGTCCTCAGTCGTGGGTATTTAGGATTACAAAAAAAGGGCTTTAGGTTTCTGCATTTGGGCTACTAGTTGTTGTGAGTAAGTCTTGGGTGCAGACATGTTTCAGGCTTGATTTTGCATCCATTCATACATATATGTGCAGACTCATGCGGTGTGATACACGGGGATTGGGCACCTAGAGCCTTTTAGGCAAAGGGTTTCAGGGGCAGCGGCTTACTACTACTCATATTATGATGTTCATGATTATCATTGACAGCAGTACATAGCGTTATTGCTCTGCTTCTGACTAATTGTTATTGCTACTTTTAGTTTGTCAGTTTCACAAGAAAGAAGAGCCCAAATAGTGCGATCATGTGCTTGGCTGTGTCTTTTAGTAGTGGCTAAAGGTTTCGGGGTTTCGGGGGCTCGGGCTCAGGGTTCGCGTTTCGGCGTGGAGTTGCTAGCTTTGAGGTCCATCCAAGATGGCCCACCACCTCCCTCCAAAAAACAAACAAGCCTGTGCTTGAGGCGGGTTTAGGGGTTACAGTAGAAGCCAGAAAGTTGGAATATCATTATCGTAAACCATTTAAGGTAAATTATCGGGGATCCTACCATCAATCCATATTCCAACTTTCTGGAGTTCCCTGTATGGGGTTTGGGGGTCTGTGTGTTGTTATCTGGTTAGGGCTCGGAGATCAGAGCTTAGGGTTTCCCCACTTTTATGGTCACGGGCTTTGCTCTTGAGAGATTGTGCGGCTTAGCAATCAAAACGGCATGTTACTGTTGACCTTCATGCGGAGGATCGGACGCCGCGTGGAGTGCGAAAAGAACCCGCAAGACATACTTGAAGGTTCATGGGAAGTTAAAAATGAGGTTCGAAGTCCCCTAATACCGGTTAAAACTAGAGCTACCCTACTTGTAACCCCCAAAATAACCAACCATGAACCTCCAAGTAGCAAGGTTTCTGCGAAGAGTTTCGGATGTAGGAATGCAGTTCATTCAGACGAGCAGAACCAGGACCGTAAACTCTAAGCCTTAACCCCAGTTTTCGGACGCTGACCCCAAACCCTGAATCCAACAGCCTTAGCCCAGACTCTGAACCCTAACAGTTCTAACATGGCTTCTGGCCGGTAGGTCGCTGAGAGGTGTCGGGGTTAGGTCCTTCCCAAGCCAGGTTCACCAATCACCAGTTTCCGTGCCTGTGTTCACTAAGTGCTAAGACCTTGAGCTATGTGCAAGAGTGTCTCCGATAATTAACGACTTTAGATAGACTGTGGATGCCAAGGTGCATCTGGCGAGTATCCACCATGCCCATCCCTTGCCAGGAAGACGAGGGGTTCCCCAGCAACCCATTTATGATAAGGGTACACGTTTTCCCTACTATTCTGTTTCAATAAAGAGACTCCAAAACAAAAAGGGCAGAAGGGTACTTCTCAGGAACCTAGAAGAATACTGTTCCTCAAGGTTCCTACGATGCCGCTAGTGAAGCAATGAATGTTGTCCTCAAGGTTCCTATTTTGACTAAAGTAAAGAATACTTTTCCTTAAGGCTCCCATTGTGACGATGATCATAATATACCCCACAGCCCCATTGGAATGGAAGAGCTATGGAAAAATACTTTTCCTTAAAAGGCTCCTGTTTTGAAGACGATAGTAAAGTATAATGTGCCCCCGCAGGCCCTTCGGAACTCACTAATCATGCAAGAATACCGTCCTTTAAGGTTCCTGCTGAGACTGCAGTACTAGAGTAAGAATACTTCTTCTTGAGCTCCTATTTTGATTCACTGATGATGATGATGATGATGTATATACATATCCCACAGGACTTTTGGAAAATAGGACCAGGAACTATGGAAAACATGCTTTTCCTCAAGGCTCCTATTATGACTCTACTAAATTACAAAAACATTCCACAGAACTAGTCTAATCATGAAGGAGCCTATATGTACATACACGGCTGATCTGCTTGGATTGGTGCTGGTGGTGCTATACGGATGCATTCAATTGGAATGAGTAGCAACAGTAAAAAACGTGGCAGCAACCCTAAACCCTAAACACCAAACAAAAACTTAAATCGTGTGTTAACTCGCAAAGAAGATCAGCCACTACAGCAACAAATGAACGACTCGGGCCTACTTCTCCCCCACTACGCACTCATTTCTCCAGGAGACATACCAGATACTTCAAAAGGAATTCTCGATACAATCTGGGGAGGAATTCCCGAGGTATGAGGGTTCGGCACTTAGGCTTTCAGGCTTACTAAGCCCTAAACCAGTCGGGTCTACGGCTCAGGGCTTTGAGGTGAGAGTCAAGACCGATCGCAGGCCCTCAACATCCCTCAACCCTACCTGAACCCTGAACAACCTACCTCTTAAGGTTCCTTCTTATGATTTCCTTACATAAGTCCTTAAAAGGTAGGTGACGTGGGGTTAAGGTAAATTAAACACTAAAGCCTAAACCCTAAACCCTAAACCCTAGGTTATTCAGGGTTAAGGTATCTGCTAGAACTTAAGCAAGGCGAGGGACGAAAGGCATCCTCAAGCAAGTATCGATTGAGCAGTGCTCTGAGCACCTGGAGAAGACCCACAGGGGTTAACGGTTTTAGGCTGGGTACTGACCCCACCCTGTAACAGTCAAAATTAGGGGTCAGAATAAGGGCCATATGTATGACTATAGTCTATATGGTATTAGTATTATTCAACTGTTACAGAGTGGGAGCAGCACCCAAGTTTTAGGGCTTTAGAGCTCTTGGCTTAGGAGGTTTAGGCTTACCTTTCAGGATGGAGTCGGTTGTAGGGTGATCTCAAATCCTGGATTTCAGGGAGCCCAACTTGCTCCCTTCAGCAAGGAATGATCCACTAGACTCCAGACCGTCAAACCCCAGACGCTGAGTCACGATAAGAGGCCCTATATCCTTGAACGGTACCTAGACCTTACATCTACCCTCTGAAAGACCCTCAATACCTTTGATTTGGTGGTACGATTGATGATATAAATCCTGCATTACCCATCATAAGGAATATACCATAATTCCCAGAGTTTGGGGTCCTTAAGGTAATGCAGGATTTATATCATCCACCGTAGAGGCCCCTCGGCCATGGGGTTGTCGAAGTTTCCAGGGCGTGGAGTTAGCACATTCCTGCCTCAGGGCCTTGCAGTTTAGGTCCGACTAGGTAAAGCCCGAGACCCTTCAAATATTGAAGACTATGAATATGCATAGTAACTGTGTCAATACATATAAATGTGTGTGTGTGTATGTATATGTATATATATATATATATATATATATATTTATATATATATATATATATATGTGTGTGTCCAGACGCGTGGTTTCTAGACCCCCCCCCGGTCCCGTTCCTCAACAAGGTTTGCCATAGGAGCCGAGTCGTCAGTCCCTCGCGACTGTCAAGGAACGAGGGCTTACCTTGATCTACCAAAACCTACTTGCTGTACGCTCCCGAGAAATATCATGATAGTTTCAGGTAGGGTTCCGACTAGAACAACTTCTTACGAGCTCTCACTGTAAAGCAGGTGAGGAAACCTCAAATTTCTACGCCTCCTCCGAAGTAGTCCCGTAAACCCCTAACCCCTAAACCCATTACCCTAAACCCTAAACCCCTAAACCCTGTAGCCCCTTCAAATCCCTCAAGCGATAAGCCCTTCACAAAAACGCTCCCCGAGAACTTGGTGTAACCCCTTGTTTAACCACAGCAGGAACTGCATTGGACTGCAAGGGTAGGCACAAAAGGTGCAACTGCCCACATGGTACGTAGAGTTGCCTTTTAAGTGCTATGGCGTGGCAGACCTACAGCCTTACTTTGTCTGTACATGAGATTCAATATCCGCCCGGCCTTCTCTCGGGTGGTAGTGCCTGGTGATGATATGGGGCTGAGGGATTCCTTCAGGGTCCCAGGGTTAGGGTTCAGGGCTTAAAGGGTCTAGGATTCTAGGAAGATGATCCACCATGATCACCAGCACCAGCACCGCTACTCCGATTGCTGTCGGAAGCTTTGTTGTTTTGGGCTGCCTGGCTTCTCCATTATTATAGGATTCCTGTACGTCCATACCATCAACCAAACCCTACAGCCTAAACCCTAAACTAAACCTTTGAGGTTGACGGCTTTTCGACTATGACGGTCAGGGCTTCGGCATGGTTCGTCCTAATTAGCGAGAGAGGTTTAATAGCTTCTGGTATAGAGGGCTCATCCATAGCGATGCTAGGACTGTGGATTCTATATGGGTCCTACAGGCTCTCAAATTTCTACGGTCTATGAAATAAGGCTTAGCGTCTGAAGCCAGCCATCTTACGACACTTTCTGCATTGCGTGATGCCGCTGCGGATACCGGCATCCAAAAGCCGAATCGAGGGTTGCGGGGCGCACAGGGCTGCTTAGGAAGTTCAGGAAACTATACAAGGTTTTGGACTTTGTAACACCAAGACCACCAAAGATCTTGAGGTTTCTTGGGTGTAGGGGCCGCGCTGCAACGACTCCTTCAAAACAAAGAAGAACCTTAGGTCAAATCTTTGCCAAACCAAAAACCCTACCCAGAGCGACGGTTAAGGGTTCAAAGGCTCTTTTCGGGCTACCTTCCTTCCTTAACAAGACCGACTTGGCTAACCTTATTTATAACACGAAAGTGCCTTGGAAAAGACACAGCCCCGAACCCCCAAAATCCCTAAACCCTACACCCTAAACCCTAAACCTTAAACCCTAAACCCTAAACCCCTATAAACCCCTATAAACCCCTATAAACCCCAAACTTAACCACAACAATCCCTGGCCTGCCGGGTCGCTGCCAAGCGTCTCCACCAAGATCTGCGCTGCATCCATGGCTTCAGTGGGGCCTAGGCCTCCGCCCTCCTCCTACACCCAGGAGTAACCTAGGAATAAAAAGGGTGCCCTTTTTGAGATAAAGGGGGTTATAAGGGAACCTGAACCCTACAAAAAGGGAATAAGGGCCTACTGTAGGTCCTAGCCTCTTAAGGCAAGCACACGAACTCATGAGATCCTTTGGAAAGACAGGCATGACCCAAAAAAGAGCAAAGCTGCAGCAAGACACAAGAGCCGTAGGAAGGTAATAAGCTACTTACAGGCTTTAAAGCTCCAAAGTGCGAAGATCGCACATCAACGGGTGAAGGGCGAATCCTGCACCTGTCACTGTCAAAATTAGGTTCCCTGTTTGGGTCCCTATGATAATACGGCACCTAATATAAGGGTACCCCAAAAGGGACCTTAATTTTGACAACTACCCATGTATGTTGTGGAGCAGCCCATTCTCTCTGCATATAAAGGCTGCGAGAAGGATGAAACTACACCTGAACCATGAACACATGGGAGTTTCCGAAAATAGGGGACCGTATTATCGTACCCCAAATACTAGGATCCTTACTATAAGGACCTCAAAACTTTAGCCCTAATTTTCGGAAACTCCCACATGGATCACTGAGCCCTCAACGCCTGGAACCCCACCCCCAAAAAACGCAAGTGTCGCACTTAAATCGAAAACCCCAAACCCCCCCTGATCCGAACATCGGGGACCCTGACATGGCACCTTAAATCGTAGGATCCTTGTTATCAGGACCCCCGAAAGGAGGGTACCCCTTTTTTTTCGGAAACCCTATCTAAACCCAAGAGTAACCTAGGAATAAAAAGGGTGCCCTTTTTGGCTTAAAGGGGCTGAGAAGGGAACCTGAGCCCTGAAAAAAGGAGAATAAAAAAAGATAATAACCCTGAGGGTCCAAAGGACACAATAATAATTCGGCATTCGGTTTTAGGATAGTAGTTATGTAGGTTAGGATTTGGGAGAGTCTATGACTATTCTGTACTTGCACTATAAGGGCCTACTCTAGGTCCTAGTTATTTAGCGGTCTTAGACTTGGCTAGCACTTCTGGGCTGGAGGTCTGTTGGGCTATACGTAAAGGATCACGGGACTTAGTAACTATAGGGTTCGTTAAAAAGCTCCTTAAACGGGATCTCTAAGGGTTCTATAAGAGGGGTCTTAGGGTTACTTAAAGTATCATGGGACTTAGTAACTAAGGTTTTTATTAGGGTAACTATACTTATAACAACTTATAACCCCAACAAGGTACTTATAACCCTACTTACTAAGTCCCATGATCCTCCGAGTAGGGGTTCAGGGTTCAGAGTTCGGGGTCCTGATTTAGGGTCTTAGATTTAAGGGGTTTGGGAGGGTTTTAGGGTTTGCAGGTTTGGGGTTACGACTTCGGGTTCGGAACAGGCGCTACTTGGCCCCGGTGCCGGCTAGTGTTGAAAGTTTACAGAGTATACTAAGCCAGATGTAGAATCACTCTTACAGGAAATGACCCTAAAAAGTACCAAAATCAGAAAACCCGTCATCTGAGTATTAGATGATTGGCTGGAGCCGTAATTAGGGTAAACAGCTCCATTGTCGGCCAAAAACGCACAGACACCCTCTCGATGGCTGCACAAGATTGCAGGATTTTTCCGTTCTTCCGGTGGAAGGCTAGGATACCCAGTAACCTAAGCATAAAAAGGCCTCTCTTTTTGGTATTGGGTAACTTTATAAGGAACCTGGGACAACAAAAAGGGAATAAGGGTACTACCGGGCATCCTAGAAGGTGTCCTGATCCCAATACCTCAAAACCTGTGCTCATCCCCAACTAACGAATCCGAATCTGCGGAAACCGGATGGCCAAGGGCAAACCCTAAACCTAAACCCCAAACCCTAAGCCCAAAACCCTCAACCCTAAACCTGAAACTCTCGACCCTAGGGTTGCGGAGTTAGGGCTTGGGGTACTGTGGTTTCTTCCTGATTTAGGTTTGGCTGAGGCTGGTGGAGTCCTCGTCTGAAATCCGAGATTAAACTCAAAACCCAGAACCCTCAAAATGAAGCTGAGCCTGAAAGCCGCACCATAAGCAGCCAAATTCGCAGAAGCACTTAAAACCCCCCCAAAACTGTACCTTGAGTCCAAGCCCGTTGATCCCGTTTACTCGACGGTCTAGAATCCCGGTAAGGTGGGATTCAGATGCGCCGTCTACATAACGACTTTTGTTTCAATTTACCCCAACTACTCGGAATAGGGGGACCCTGAAGGGGATAGGGACCATCTCAAACAAGGTCCCTGTTAAGAGAGCCATAAGTAGGGTTCAGAAGGGTCCCTTTAAGGGGTCTCCCTCATACCACCTAGGGTTGGAGCACTTTAACCGCCAAGAAACTCCTTGGCGCGCCCTGGAGCGGCTCTCCTGCGACGTTTTCTCTGTTTGAGAGCCTGGGAGTTCTTGAGAGAGACTTAATGTAAGGGCCTTCATAACTAACAATACTCCACGGGTTTATGTTCCCAAATAGTATATACTTTGGCCCCAATGTACCTATAAAGGGACTACTTGAAGGCCAAAGTATATACTATTGGGGTACATGGACCCTTTGGGATAGGTTCCTTTACAGGGTTTTCAAAAGCGTTCTAATAGGGTGACTATAAAGGGCATTATGGGGCTGTAGCAAAGGGCCTACATGATTGAAATAGGGTTTTGGGGCCCAGTACTATAAATAGTATTGGTAACTATCAAGGCCCCTATATAACCCAAGCCCAGATAACCCATGTACCCGTTTAAGGACTTGTGAAAGGAAATCAAAGGAGGAACAATGACAAGGTAGGTTCTTTGGGGTTCAGGTATAGATTAATTTTAGAGATCATGCATGGGCTCCTTACCGGCGCATGTCGTAACCGTATGAGAAGCCCTTTCAACAGAAGAGGCGAGTTGCCCCTGAAACCGCCCTCCAAACCCCCAACTTAAAAACCTAAACAACATCGTTTTACATCAGCCCTAACACAACTGTTGCATTTTTAGAGGCCTGCGCTTCCGACGAAAAGACCTCCTGTGGCAGCAACCTTCGTAACAAGCAAATCAGAAACCCTACTGGGAATTCTTTGCGGATTCAAGCTCCTCCAAACAGCCCCATTGTCACACCCTAAGCCCTGAACCCGAAACCCTAAACCCCTACCCGCCGCGTGCTCAACGAGCTTTTGAAGGCTTCGGCTTATGGTTGCGAGCTTAGGCTGTTGGTTGTGGCTGTTGGGCATCAAAGCTACTAATGTAGGAACCTGATGAAGAAACCCTGGGCCTATAACCCCAAAATAGTAAGATTCAACAAGGAACCCAAACAAAGGCCCACGCTCTCTTCATCAGGTTCCCACACTACTAGTTTCGAGGTCCCGGGGCCGGGTAATGGAAAAACTCGCCCGAGGCCCTCAAGCTGAAAAACGCTCGAAAGATTTAATCCGAAAGAGTTTGATGTAGGGGCCTGAATAATTAGAATTAGGGTTCTGGGGCCCAGTATACTAGAATTATATTTAATATGGAACCCGTAAGATAGTGTAGGCAATTGGTATACATCTTGCGCACTTGGAAGCTCAGGGCCCAAGATATCAACCTTGCAACTTAATTTACTTAAACTCTACCCTTCAAATCAGTCCTCGAGGAACGGATAGAAGCATGCAGCACAGAAGCCATTGAAAAAGGCCAACCTGCACCACATGCGCCTTACACTAATTACGGCTCTACGTCGCCCACAGGTGCCGTATCATATGGCATTGGAACCTACAAGCGGTAAAACAAACTTTCGTTCTGCTGTAGCAAGGCACGCCAGCAATGCATTTCAGCCCCCGGGCCAATACTGGCTTCAAGTCTCTGCAACAAGGTTTCCCTGCACACCGAGTCGAAGGCTTTGGCTATATCCAACTTTTCCATGCACATCCCTTTGTGCCACTCCCTTTCCAACTCAAGGGCCCGCCAAACACTGAACAAAGTTAGCCGATTGACGCCCCACACCAGCACATTGTGCATGAGTACGGCATGCCAACTCGGCGTTGCCATTCGTCGCAGAGGAGTCTGCTGGACCGTGAAATGCAACTGGGCAAGCTGTTCGGCTGCCAGCACATGCCCCCGACCCAGGTCTTGTTGAGTTGCCGCAAATGTTGATAGGCGGCGGGCAACCCACTCGAAGTCCTCGATGGTCGGGGCTGGCAGCCTGTTTCTGTTCCCTTTCGCAACCAGGACCCCAGCTGCATTGATCGTGTGAGTGGCATACCGAGGCTGGAGGCCCTCCACACAGATCACAGCCTCGATCTGACCGAATGCTTGCACGAACAGGGACCACCAAGCCGAAAGACGACCCAGGGTCAAATCCGCATTTGGCACTGGACTTGCCTGCGCAGTTTGTTAGGCGTCTTAAAACATATAAGCCCCTAAAGCAAGAGCGCGAACTTGTGGTGGGCATGTACTCAGAGACTCCAATATCCCTTGATTCACATGATTTCGGGATTTAGGGATCCCACTATATCTAAGGTATATTCCGTACTTAGAAGGGATATTGGAGTCTCTGGTTATGCCAGCGAGTCATCCGTTTCCCAGTCCTCAGAGAGCTTCTTGAACAGACAGGCTAGAATGTAGGAGCCTTCATAATTAAAAGGGGGGGGGGTCCTGTAAAGGGTTTCTACAAGGGTGTAATATGGGGCCTTAATGAGTAGACTAGGCTTTTGGGGCATATTATAGGGTGTAGCTATTTTCTTAAGGTCGTCGGGCTCAAGATTTCTTCTACCCTCGAAACCAGAAAACACGAAATCTAGAACACCTATACTCAGAACCCTGACTCTCCTCAGCCCACATCTGCGCAATGCCTAAGTTAAGGAACCTAGTCTAGGACACGATAGTAAGGACTGCGATGAACTATAATGCATGTTCAACCTGAACAAAATCAGCCTAGAGTAAGTCTAGCAGTAGAGGTCATCTCCGAGCACTAAACCATCAACCCCAAGCCCTAAAATACAAAACCATCAAGCTTACACCC